CTGGTCTGGGGTTTTCCAGATGGGGGTTCTAAGCCCCCAACGTGGACAAGTGACCTTGACTGATGGGGTAGATTCTTCAAGGTCCTTGGCCAATGACTGCTTGAGGAAACAGCCGAGAACTGGGAGAGAAAAGATACAGCCCAAACAGAAGTCCTCATAGCACAGGCCTGGCAAGGAGGAGCTCTGGAGAGGGTGCGGGGCAGGGGGCCCGACAGCCTGGAGCCCCAGGGAGCTTGCGCACGCCACTTTCCCCTTCCCGGGCCTCAGTGTTCCCATCTGAGAAATGGCAGTATGACCCATACCACTGGTTTGAACAATGGTACAAATTAACAGCAGCATAGCAAAATCATTCTGATCTTTTCTTTGATGACCCTGCAAGGCTGGGTTTGGGGAGAAGTTCAAGCTGAATATGGAGGGCTTGCAGCCAGACCACAAGGCGCTATTAAAGTGGCAGCACCTGGACACCCTCCTCCCCCACCATTAACTGCAGGACTCAGCTGCCATGACCCCGCCCTGCAAATGAAGCCCAGGCTGTTTTCATTTCCAACTCTGGGAGACGCCCTTCACCCTACAGTCAGAAGATACAGGGGCCCTGTATCTGACAGGGCGTCAGCGTTAGGACCCCCTCCCTCCACCCCACCGGGAACACTGAGGCCAAACCCCATTCTGCAGATGGTAAGAATGAGGCCTGAGAGCCCCTCTTCTGATACACACACACACACACACACACACACACACACACACACAGAGGCAAGAGACCCACAAAGCAAGTTTGTGCCATTCGCTTTGGCTCCACTTGTTAAAAGATGAGGCATAGCTTTTCTTGGCCAGAGAAGAGGGATTACAATCTTCTTTTCTCTCTCACCATTTTTTTTTCTTCCCAAGGAGTTGGGACTTTTTAATAGAAGTTGGTTCGTGTGCAGGCATTTTATTCCTCAATTAATTTCCATCTAAATGAGGTTTTCCCGGAGTTAACCAGTGTTTTAGTCCCATTTGAGCTTCATTTGTATGACTGAAGCCTCCATTTCTGCCGATTCCAATTTGCTGGGTGATTCTAGCGCTCGTTACCTGGGCCTGCACGCCCCCTCTGCAGGCCCCGGAGGAGCCAGGAGCTAGGCCCATTTCCATTAGTAATTCAGGGGCACGGGGCATCCCTCTCCTCTCCCAGTACCACTCAATAAATAGGAAATAAATTATTAAATAAGCAATGTTCCGATGAGGGAATCCCCATCGTGGTCTTTACAATGCAAAGCAACCACCACCAAAGAAAAACCCTCAAAAGGTGAAGACAAGCAAACAAAGTGGCCACAGGTGGAGGGGGAGGACACCTCTGCACACCTTCAGGTGCGGACGTGAGAAGGGAGAGGCCCTAATTGGGCATTGCTTCCCGGCACCGGTGTCTGGGCCTGGCCAGTGCAGGAGACGGTGAGTTTTGAGCAATGCCGGAGGTTTTTCCATTTTTTTTTTTATGAGACAAAATTTTATATTCCACTGGAGAGAAAAGCAAGAGAGATGCACGTGAGAGTAACTTTGGGTATTTGGGGAGAATACGGCAGAAGGAAAGACAGGAGTAGGACTTGGAAACAAGAAAGTGCTTTCACACCTGTGGGAGCACCCTGAATTCTGGCCTCATTAAGGGGAGTCACACCCTGCTTTCAGGTTTTACTCTCGTGACGAAGAACCTCCTGGAATAAAAACGTTCCAGGATGTTTTTCCTTCTCTACGTCCCCGTGAGCTGCGTCTGTCTTTGAAGAATGGCCCTGGGCTCGGGTGGACATTTTGGATTGTATCTCGGAAACTCCTCCACTTCTCAAAGGGGGAAATGGTGGCCCAGGGAAAAGAGCCATTGATTGGCCCAGGTTCACTCATCTAGTGAAGGCCCACCCGCAGCAGGAAGGGCAGGGACTGCCTGTGCTTGACCTCCAGCCGCATCTGCCTCTCCTTTCCCGGGCTGGCTCTTAAACCGGGTCCTCATCAGGAGCGGGTTTCGGCACTTTGTCTCGCTCCCGGGAGCAGAAAGTAAGCAGGGCAGGCCGAGACACTGCAATGCCGGGTTCTGGTTAAAAGTAAGGTTGCCGGTGCCCCAACACGGGTCTTTATTTTTGGAGGGAAACACAGAAAATGTGAAGGAAATCAGAGAAACACACCAAGGGCTCGGGAGGGACAAAGCTCTCCCCCCCGGGGAGTTTAAGCAGCCTTCTGGCAAACGTTCCCCCAGCCAGGGGACTCCTCTGTTTGGGTCACTTGGGCTAAGGCAGAGTCACATGACAAGAGAAACCACCAGGCCCACCAAACCCAAAGCTGGACCAGCCGAGCTGGCTGTTTGGACAAGGAAGAGTGACTTTGGAAAGGGAGGGAGCCGTCTCCTGCTGCCGCTGTCCACTGCTGGATGGTCAGAGAGGCGAGCCCAGTGCAGACCCCCAGGTCCTGCTTCCCAGGGTGCACCTGAAATGACCTTCTTGTGGGATACCTGTTGCTGCTCCCTTTACCTTATTTTTTTAATTTCGAAAAAATCTTTGCTCTCTCTCTTGACAGAACAGCAAGAGACCACATGCAAAAAAAGGCGTTAGCTCTGGGTTTGTGCGCCTCTCCCCGGGTGGCTGAATCCCTGTCACAAGGCAGTGAACCCACTGCAGAAGGAGCAGAGCATCGCAGGGGATGGGGAGGAATCGGCGCCAGGAGTCGGAAGCCCGAGTACCTGACCGGAAACCCACCAGGTATGTCCAGAAAAGCCCGTGAGGGATCCCGCCCAGTAATACCCGCCGTGGGGTAAGGCTACAACTGAGATATGCGTCTCCCCCTTCCTTTTCACAATCCTCGCCTTAGTCTCCGGGTCTGACTTTCTCGTCTAAGCCAAGTGCACGGGACCCCAGCACTGAGCCCCGCGCCACTTTCAGCCACCAGACACAGGCAGCTGCTTCGATAAGCACCAACAGAAGCCTCAGCAGCCCACCAAGAGGTGGCACCTGTCTCCCGTGGGCTGCCTGGAGCACTTTCACGGGTGACTTTGACTCTGTGCGGGTTTCACCTTCCACACGAACTTCCGACACCCACATAAGCTGTGACTCCACTGTGTCAGTTCTGTGCCTTAGCTCATAAGCTTCTTGGCCATTTTCATTTTTTTGGTACTGCAGTGAGGCAGCTGTAGGGCAGGGGCTGGGGCCCAGGCCTGGACCACACAGATAGTGGGCCAAGCAAGGCACCTGGGGGCCCGAAGTGCTTCCGGGTCACCTTCAGGATGTCCTGGGGCTTAGGGCTCAGTGGGTCTCACCTACTGGGGAAAGGGCAACGTCCCCACCCACACCCAGCTTGTCAAATCCCATCTACAGAAGCAGGAAAGAGAGATGCTCAGAAATAATGTAGAAGGCCCCCTCCTCCCCAAACACACATACACACACACAACCTCTCCTTATAAATAAATAGTTGAATACTGCTAACAGGGACAGAGAGAGATCTCATCACATAAATAAATAAATAAACATAAATACAGACAATAAATAAAAAGGTTTGCTAGCAGCCCCAGGCAGAACAGGCCCCTAGAGTTGCTTGAATGGAGGCAGTCTGACTTCGAGGCCCTGGGGCCTCTCTCCTTGCTCCTGCCAAGGAGGCTACCAGGCCCCGGGGAGGCTGTCTGCATGAGGGGAGACTGGAGTCCAGCAGGGAGCCTGGGCAGGGAAGAGGATTATTTACACTTGCTGTACATGCCCTCCTGGGGCACCTGCCATCAGCCTTCTGCAGTGGCAGCATCGCCATCGGTAAGCCTTGGTGGGCAGGACCCAGGTCTGGGCCAGGGGGCATCATGGGAAGGCAGGCCCTCCACGCCGCCCAGACAACCTCGCTCCACTCTCCTGGTGGAGGAAGGACATTTGGGCTGGTTCAGGGCAGTTTCTGGCCCACAGGCTGATCCGAAGGCAAAGATCGGGGAGGGGCAGGTCCCTGCTTCCAAATCAAAGGGTTCCCCCCCCCCAAATGTCTTCCCTGTGGGTTGAGGGATGAAGAGTACTTGATCCCTGCCTCCACAAAGCCCCAGATCCGGAGCTGGGGGCTGTCTCCGCTCACTCTCCAGTCCTGCCCTGCTGCTGTTGCCACCACAAGCTCAGAATTCACCCTCGAGGCTCCGGAAAGCCAGTTAGCTGGTGAGGGGGTGCCCCAGTCTATTTTAAGGATCCTCTCTCCCACACCCCTGGTCTCAGTTACTCCTGCGGAGGGAGCAGCTGCTGGTGTCCGTGCCAGAGATGGACTCGCCCTCAGTGTCTAGCCTTAGGCAGGGGAAGGTGGGCCGAGGGCAGAAACAAGGGTGGGGCTTCCCCAAGCTGACAAGGAACCTCAGAAGCCAGGGGGAGCCCAAGACATGGAGCATCCAAGCCCCCCTGACTCTGAATTTGGGCTTTTCCCCTCAAACCTGAGCTGCTGTGCCCCATCCTGGCAAAATTCCTGAGGGAAAGGGGATGGCTTAGGATGAGGGTGGGTGGGTGTTCGCCTACATCGGGCAGGCTCCAGGGTGTGGCACTCTGGGCGGCGTGGAGGGGCAGGCAGGCGCCAACCAGCGGGTAAGGCCAGACGGGCTGGCGCTGCGGATGGCGGCTGGCCATGGCACGGGGAACGTTCGGCAGATGGTCCTGTGGAGTTTAGTTGGTGCCAGCTAGTGGGGCTGAGACAAATTTGGGAAATGGGGATGTAGACCATGCTGTGTTCTTTCTCAGGGAGGTTGCAGGGTCCCTGTGAATAACCAAGGGGCATCGTGTGTAAACCGCGCTGGGACATTGGGAGCAGCGGCCTGACCTCTTCCTCTGCGTTTCTACACTCATTATCAGAGGACCCTACTGTCAGCGGGGATGGCCATGCCCCCTGCACGTCTGCACCCCCTCTTCTAGGATTCTAGAGCCTTCTAGCCTTTGCTTTGGCCTGTTTGGGGAGGTGACCGGCCTGACCCCATCTCCTGGACTTGGGTTGCCTTTGATCTCTTCTAATCCTCCCACCCTACCCCCCCCCCCAACATCCCCATGAGGGATGGGTCCACGGACATGCAGCCACAAGACTGAGGGGAGGAGGGCGGGTGGGATGAGTTAGCCCTGCCCTTCCAGATGCAGCCTGGGAGCAGTGTGTGAGCGGAACCATGTACATCTTCCTGGCCAGGCCCAAAGGTTGGAGTCACGGACCCATTCCTTCTTACAAAACCTTGAGGGGTTTTTTTTTGTGCCAACAGACAGTGGGTGTTTCTCTTCATATGCCCAGGCCTGAGATGAGCCTCAGGGTGGTGCTGGTGGAGGCTCTTAGCAGCTTGTACCCTCTTTTGCTCCTCCGCAGGAGAACAGAAAGGACAGGGTCCAGGGGCCCTCAGTGTCTGTCACCAAGGAGAAGGCAGGGTGGGGGAGGCTGGCCCAAAGATAGGGCCCCGCCCCCCCAGGCAGCTGGCTCAGGGGAGGGCCCTTGCTTAGCGCCTGGTGCTGGAATAGCTGCCTGCTGAGCTGTAGCTTCTGCTCCGGCTTCGGCTCCGGCTCCGGGAGCCCAGACTGGGGCTGCGGGAGCTGGAGCTGCTGCTCGTGCGGGTCCTGCTCCGGCTCCGGGTGCGGCTGCGGCTGCGGGAGTAGCTGCGGCTGCGCGAGTAGCTGCGGCTGGCTGAGCGACTGCTGCTGCTGCTGTACCAGGAGGAGGCGCTGCTGAGGCCACTGGAGGAAGAGGGGCTGGGCCGGTAGTAGGGGATGGGGCGTTTCCGGGCGCTGTGGAGACCAGAGGGGGCACTTGTGAGGGCCAAACTCCTCCCGGCCTTCCCCGGGAGCCTCAGTCTTGTCCCGAGGGAAGGCAAGTGGTGGCCTTCCATTCCCTCTAGACCTTTAAGAAAAGATGCTCCCCTTGGAACATCAAGCAAACAAAAACTAGTGCTGACAAGTCTTGAAAAGTGATAATTTCACTTTTTCACATAGCAGGCCTGGGGCGCAGAGCCTCCAGCCGACCGTGGAATTTGTTATTTTTACTTTCACTAGAACCTTCTATTTATGGAAGGGGAGGCTGACTTTCCATTCCCTGTGGCATATCAAGTTTCCTTTTGAAATAAATGTATGCACCTCTAAAAAAGGGCAAGTCTATTTAAAGAAAATTAAGTGACTGAAGTTTGGAAAACACTGAATGAGTTCATCAAGAAACCAGAGAGGCTTCCGGAAACGCCCCTTCCTGTCCTTCACCTTCCTGCAAGTGGGCCCCAAGGACACCTTCCCTGGGGGCAGTGGGTGCTGGAGGCCCTTCCTGCGGGCCAGGGAGCAGGCGATGCTGTCACCCGTCCTCCTGTTTGGGACCATGTTCCTTTCCCTCCCCCAGGGAGGCGGCACAGGGCGGCCAGGAGCCCCGCCCCTTCCCTCCGGAGGTCTCTGGGCCACGTGGCTGACCCGAGAAGGGTCAGCAGGAAAAGCCCAGCTGATCGGCAGGCACCGATTTCAGGGCAGCGCTCTGCCCTTCTCGCAGGCTGGAGACATTGTGTCGGCTCAGGCCACAGCCCCTTTTCTACGACCTGACCTTTACAGAAAATCTGTCTGCCCAGCCTGACCCCTTCAGTGTTCTGCGATGGCGCACCGCGGGCCCTAGTGTTCTGCACTTAGATGTACAAAGCACGTTTCCGTGTCTCCTTTCAGTTCAGCTTCATGACACTCCTGGGCGTTATTTCCTCCAGTCCTTCGAGGGTGAGAACTAAGACTCTGGGAGGTGAGGAGACTTTCCCAGAAGTCGCTGGAAAGTGGCCTGGCCAGGATTCCCCTCCAAACCCACCACTCTCCTCCTTACCCACCTCCAGGGACCTTTGGGACTTAATCGCGGCTGCCCTCTGCACGCTTGGTTCGGGGTGTCGTTAGGGATGCGTCCTTCTGAGCCTAGATTCTTGCCTGTAGGTCTGAGGGTGGTCTGTCTCCACTGCCGAACCCCATCCCCAGGCAAAGGCCCTGTTCCATTGCCGGTGACCTCACTCCCTGACCCCACTCTTTTCTGCAGCTCCTGACCACAGCTCCAAGTCCAAACCCCGGCCCCACCCCTTTTCCAGCCCCGCCCATCCCGGGCCAAGCCCCGCCCCCACTGCCCCTACCCTTGAGAGACTGGCCGTGTGGGCCAGGGCGCTGACTTGGCCCCCCGGAGGTTTTGAATGGAAAGAATTTCAGTGGTTGGGGGTTTGAAAGGGAGTCCCTGAGCTACCACAATTCTGAAATCCAGCCCCAGGGAGGCGGGGAGAGACCTGCAGCGGAACAGGTGGGGAGGGAGTGGGGGCGAAGGTGGGCACCCCAGGCCTCCGGCGCCTCACCTGGTTATCCTCCGCGCCTCCAGGTGGCTCGGGGAGTCTCTCCGGCGCTTCCGCATGGGCGAGTAGGACCTCCGTCTCTGGCGCGCTCGCTCGCGCTCCCGCTGCTGCGAGTCCTTCTCACTGTACTTGGGGTCCCGCTCCCTGAGGGATGCGGAGGGATTACTGGGGAGTGGCCCTGGCCTGGCTTCCTGTCCCCCAGGCCCTCCACCCCTGTGGGGCAGGCGATCCCCAGTGGGGGTATCTGCACAGGGCAGGGGCGGGGGGGGGGGGCGACAGGATCTGCATGGGGTGGGGGGGGAATGACACTGCTGTGGACAGTGTGGGTGGGTACTGTGGGGGCGGGCCCGGCGAGTGCGGGTGCCAGCCTTTGAGGGTGGGTGGTACAGGGGTGCGGGGGGGGGGGCTGATGGGGCGGGGATTTGAAGTTACACAGGCCCTGATTCGTAAGAATTGGGGGCTCAGTATAGGGTGAGGGGTAGTGTGGGTGTGTGAAAGGTAGGGATGTGAGTTCTGGGGTGCGGCCGTAGGGACGTTTGGAGTGGAAGGGGGCACGTTTGGACATAAAGATATATATGGGGCCTCAGTTGCCACTCCAGCTAAGATAAAGGGAATTACACGGCGGTTAGTCATCATCCTATTCCTACTCGAGAAGGATTTGACCTAAAGGGAATAGGGGCGGGCTTGCTGTCACTCCACTGAGGTGCCTCTGGGGGGTGGGGCCTACTCCGAGGGGTGGGGCCAGTGCCGGGGGGGGGGGGGGGGGGCGGGGCCGGTACCTGCTGGGACTGTAGCGGGAGTAGCTGGGGCTTCTGCGGGATCGAGAGCTTCTGCTGGGTGGGCTTCTCTTGCCAGACTTGGAGGAGTAGCTGGGTGAGCGGGAGTAGGACCTGGAGGAGAGGAGGTAGCCCCTGAGGAGCCCCTCCTCAGGGAGGAGGAGCCCCTGCTGAGCCCCGTCAGGGTTGCCCAGGATGTCGGCTGGTCTCCAGTCTTTTTCCTTCTGGAAGGCCAGGCAGAGGAAGCAGGCCCTTACTGGGGACTGAAGTCCCCTCCCTTTCTGGTGGTTAATAATACTAATATGGACAACTTCCTCTCATGGAGTTCTTAACTATCCCAGTCACTTATTAGCTGTGTGACCTTGGGCAGGTGGTTTCTCTTCTCTGAGTCTCATCTGCAAAATGGGGGTAATAATAGCACTTACCCTATAGAATTGTCGATTAAATGAGTAAGTTAGGGTAAATCACTTACCATATTGACACAGAGCCAGCACAGGAAATATCAGCTATGCTGTATCTGTGGTATCATATTATGTCTTTTACTCTGGGCCATTTGAACTAATGCTTTGGGTGCGTTATCTCATTTAATCCTCAGCACCTCCTAGGGTTAGGCACTCCGTCAACCCTGTTGTATATATGGGGAAACAGAGGCACAGAGAGGTGGTGTAATTTGCTCACGGTCGCTCACCTTGTAAGGGACTTGAACCCAGGCCTGTCTGGCCACCAAGTGCCCTTGACTCCTGTTAGGCTTCGTTGCTGTGCATCCAAATATGTGCTGTTACGATCCCTCCATCCTCTTCCCGCCCTGCTGACGCCTCCCCCTTTTAGAGTTCTTCCACCAGTTTCCCAGGAACATCTGCCCTTCTTTCTCATTGCCCCAAAGTCAGGCTTTGAAAAAATGTTCTTCTTGTGTGTGCTGGGAGTGATCCCCTAGTGGTGACTGCCAGAGCTGAGAGGGACCGCACGGCTGTTTGTGTTCAGTGGGAAAGAGCGCCGTGGTGGATCAGCCGTGTCTGCTATGGGCACAGGGATGGGTAGGGATACTCTCTCATGCTCTGCTTTTGCAGCTTTTCCTCAAAAAAAAAAAAGGAAAAAGAAATTATTTCCCCATCAATTCTTTTTGATTTGAAAAGGCCTGCCTTACCCTGGCTGCTTGTCAGGTGCTCCCCACTGTCTTGGGCTGTCCTGACCACCAGGCCCCTTACACACGGCCCCTGGGCTCGGAGCTCCCACGCTGCCCAGGGCGATGCAAGGAGTGGGGGTGAGGAAGAGCTGCTCCAGGCTCAGGGCCCCAGGACAGTGTCCAGCTATGGCCCCTGGAGAACGTGCTCCTGCCAACTAGCTCTTTGGCTGTTTGTGGAAAGATACCTAGGAAAGACTCAAGATGAGACATGCTTTGGGACACTTTCAAAGGATGCCGGGCATTTCTGTCCACCCCTCCGCACAGCGTCCTCTTTCTGTGGAGCCGTGTGAGCCCGTTTTCATGCACTGACACAGCGCAGCTCAGTTCCTATCTTTTTTGTCACTGACGTCACGGTTGATGGAGCGATGCCCCTTTTTGCTTTTTCTCTCAGGGAGCTCAGCGTGGTAGCTGCGGCCCACCCCCATGCAACTCTACAAAGTGGACGCGCCTTTAGGACTTCACCTTTCCCGTGACGTCACTTCACTTCTCTCCTCAGTCTTCCTTTGAGTCTGATTTGTCCTCCTGTTTACGTCACTCGGTCGTACTGAGTATTTCTATCAGCTCCCTGGTCTCCTCATTGTGAATGAACTGGTCTTGGAGTAACCAACTAAGCAACTGTTCTGTTTGTTTTGATTCTGTGGTGGCAGAGAAGGAACAGTAGGGCTGCTCCTGGGAATTCCTGTTTGCGGAGGAAAGCTGGACTCCCCAAAGCCACGGGTTGGTTAGACTGGGGGGACTCTCCCAGGTCCTGAGATCTTGAGTCTGTGCACTCTGCCCCCTTCTTATTCGACGTGAGAAAAATCAGTTACAAATACCAGCCACTACTGTAACCCGCAGAATGCAAAAACAGGGACAAGTCTTCTCCTTCCTGTATGCACACCCCTTGAACTGTGACTTTGCAGCCCCTCCCACTGAGAGGGGCACCCCTTGCACCTGCATTGGTCTCTGTGACTTGCTCTAACAGAATGACAGAAGGGGTGTCACGTCCACTCCGAGCCTAGGCCTCGATGGCCTTGCACACTGCAGCCGTCTTGCTCCGTCTCTGTCCCTTCCCCTACAACCCCTCTCTCTCAGACCCTTGTCATCACCATGAGAAGGAGCCCAGACAAGCCCTGCTGGAGGATGGACCTGCCAGCCCCCAGGCAACTCACCCACTGACGGAAGACACCTACGTGAGCCCCAGAGAGACTAAAGAAACACTTAGCTGAGCCAAGCCCTGATTGCTGACCCACAGAATCAGACATGAAATAAACACTTGTTTAAGGATGCTAAACAAGTGTTTAAGGATGGAGCTCATCCCTATGCCAACAGCAACAATAGTAACAAGTGTAAAATTCATTACACTCCAAGTGTTAGTGCCTTGCAGTACTCAGAACAACTCTGCAGGGAGAGGACTGCTATTGTTTTCATTTTGCAGATGAGGAAACTGAGGCCCAGGGAGATGAACGGAGGCCCAAGGCCACCAGCTAGTACTGGGTAAAGGGGCACCCAAGCTCCAGTCTGTCTGACTCTCCCCCCCCCACAGGGCCAAAGACATCTCTGGTCACCTTGTCAGCCCCGCAAGGAGGACATGCTGTGGAACCAAGGTCCACACCACACTCACCTTTTCCCGGAGGAGGTGGACCGGCTCCGGGTGTACCTGGGGGAGGCCCTGGGGTTGGGGGACCGGGAGGAGAGGCTGGAGGAGCGGGCGCTGGCACAGGAGGAGCTGCGGGAGCGTCCTCTCACGGGGGAGCTCCGAGCTGGGGAGGGGACCACACCGGACTTCTTCACCTCGGCGCAGCCCAGGCACGGCGACTGCGGTGCTCTGTGGAGGGAGAAAGTTTGTTAGTGCCGGCCTGCCTGCTGGCCTGGGGGCGTCCGTGCTGGTGCTTGCTGCCCGGCCTCTGCCAGGGCTGGGGTGCTCCCCGAGCCCCCTCCCCACCCCTTTGCATCCTACCTCCAGGATGGGCTCTTAGGCTGCCCGTGTTGGAGTAGAGACAGTGGGGTACGTCGCCCAGGTAGGGGAGCACGTCTGAGTATTTTGGGTCATGGGACGGGGCATGATGGGACCATCAAATCGCATGCTTGGAAATTCACCGAATTTTGCCCTAAATAACACGCACCCACGTTTTTGTGGTACCTAGAGCCATGCCTATACTTGCTGGGTTCTCAGTCAACACATGCTCATTTGCATTGGGCCAAGGGTCAAGTGCAAATCATGTTAGTATAGTTTCAGGGTTCATCGTGACCTGGCCTCTATGCACCCCTGCACCCCTCCAGGCTCAGCTCTTGGCACATCCCTCTCTGGACTCTGGTCCTAGTAGACTATTCGTCCCTCCTGGAGTGTCCTTGTCCCCTCCCCTGTGTCCAGGCCTCAGAACATTCCCACTGCCAGGAACCCTCTTTCCTCCCTTCATGACCTGAAAACTCCTCGTCACGGTTCAGGTATTAGTTCGACCTCACCTTTTCAGGGAAGCCCTCCCTGACACCCTGCAGGCTGGTTGGGTGACCTCCAATGTGTCACCCCAGGCCCAGCCCCCCCAGCCCAGTGACTGCACGTGGTCTCATAATTGTTTCTTCCTCCTGCAGACACTGAGCTCCTTGGGGACAGGACTCCCCTCCCTCTGGACACTGTATCCCAGCACCGAGGACAAAGCCTGACACGTGTGTCCTAGGTGGTCAGTAAATGGAATAAATACTTTGCGACTCCGAGTGTCCTGGGCACTTCACAGGCATCCTCTCCCCGGCCCCCCACCAGCCTCAGGGAGCTGGTGCACTTACCATCCCGGTGCAGAGAGGACTCAGGAGGGCAGGCCCTTTGGTCAAGGCCACCCGGACGCCCAAACCCAGGTCTGTCCAGCGCCAAAGCCTATGGCCTTGGCACCTCGCCAGCACGACCCCCCACTCACTATGGTTCCCTGATTCAGGGCTGACACCTCTTCTGCTCAGCCCTCTGCTCCCAGCTGACTGAACAAAGGCAGCGTGGATTTAAAGACTGTTTACATTTCAAAGTGAGAGGCTGGGGCCAAGTCACTCAGTTCTGCTGTCCCCAGAGAGCGAATGAAGCAGGTGACCGTGACTTCTGGGGACAGATCTGTGCTTGAAGCCAGGTGTTGGCCCTCATTAACGGTTTCTGAACCACTCCAAGCCTCAGTTTCCCCATTGACTAAAACGGGGTTATGACCGCACCTATCTCATAAGGGTTTGGTGAAGAGATACGGAAACTGGTTCATGGAAAGCACCCGGTGTGTACCTAGCACGAAGTCCTGGGCTCCGTAAATGTTAGCTGCCATTATTATTGCTGTCTCAGTTTTTCCTGCACAATAGCATCAGCAGACACGTGGCCCTGCTCTCCCATCTGGTGACATTACTGCCTGTTCTTAGAGACCATGACGTTCACTCTGGTCCAACCCTGGCCCCCAGCCAGGCTTGAGTAGGATCCAAGGTCAGGAGTGTCCTGAGCAGGCATGCCACAGGCTGGGTCTACGTGTGGACGCCAGGTGGTCGGTCTGGGACTGAAGTGGCTCTGTGTTGGAGGGGACAAAGGGCGCTCTGGCCTTGAAGACGGCTTCCCTGCCAAGGCTGAGGGGCAAGCCACTGAATGAATGGTACAGAGCAAGTGATCAGCCAAGTGCCGTAGCTGATATTGTGACAGCCTCCTCAGTGATTAGCATTGTGTTGTGGTTGCTTGAGTGACGGTGTAAGGAGGGGATGAAACAGCAGAATCATAACTGTCTCCTAAGTGGCTGCGTGGAAGCGTTTTCTGCAGGAAAACTGCGTCTCGCAAGTGTCAAATGGGCAAAAATTGAGAAGTCTCAACAATCTGTGATAGCCTGGTCTCCCTTTGCCTGACACCGTCCCATGGGGTGGACACACACACACACACACACACACGTGCGGCCGCCTCCCTCCCAACATCCCCATTGGAATGGCACACTTGTTACAACTAATGGGCCCATGTGGACACAGCATTATCAGCCCAAGTCCACAGCTTACCTGAGGGCTCACTCCCGGTGGTGTCCACCGCATGGGTTTTCACAAGTGTCCAAGCGCACATCTCCACCATCACTGTCTCACCCAGAGCGGTTTCGCTGCCCTGAAAACCCTCCGTGCTCTGCCTACTCTCCCTGCACAGTCCCCGCAAGCCCTGGTCCGTTACTGTCTCCGTAGTGATCCCTTCTCCAGATTGTCCTACAGTTGGGATCACAGAGTGCGCAGCCTTTCCCGATGGGCTCCTTTCATGTAGCAAAATGGGTTTAAAGTCCTCCATGTCTTTTCATGACTTAATAGTCCATTTCCTCTGAGCTCTGATAATATTTCATTGTCTGGAGAGGCCGCAGATCATTTATCCATTCACCTACTGAAGGACATCTTGGTTGCTTCCAAGGTTTGGCAATTATGAATAAAGCTGCTATAAAAACATCCACTGCAGGTTTTTGAATAGACAGAAATTTTCAATGCACTGTGGTATGTGTTTAAATGGCAGTGACTTCATTAAATGAATTCAATGGTAGACTTTCCCTGAGATTACTGGTGAAGACAACACCTCTTTTTTTTTCTGGCCCAGCCTCCACCCCTCCTCCTGATATTCCTACCCTGGCTTTTCCTCCAGAGAAGCAGCCCTCTCTCCATTTTAGTGGATGTGGGAAAACTCTACTCATTCGCCCTTGTGGTGCGGTGCGGCAAATTCTAACCAAGAACATAGCATCCCCTGGGCCAAAGTGATTGGTCCAGGATGGGCAAATGGCCCAAGGTGGGCCAAGCAGAACCAATGTGCGCCTGCCCTGATAGTTGGCTGAAATTTGGGGGAAGGAGGCATCTTCCTTCATTGGCTGGCTGCACTAACAGAATGTTAGCAAGGTGGCCCATTTGCCAATGCTTTGGGAGGGTCTGCTTGAGAACTGAAGCCAAGAGAGAGGGAAGCAAAGCTAAAAAATGCAACAGGAAAGACAGATTCCCAAGGATATATTGTTGAGCTCCTGGATCCAGCTACACCTGAAGCTGAGTATTCTTAGATTTTTTAAAAACATGCCAGTTTGAGTTGAGTTTTCTCCCTCTTGCAAATAAAAGACTCCTGGGTCAGAGCCCAGCGGGTGGTGCAGGGCAAGGGGGAGAGACAGTGGAGCTATGGGGGGACCCCCTCCTCCTGCCCCAGTGTACTGACCTTGGCTCTCTGCCCCTGCTGGTGGGTGAGAGACTCTCCAAAGTGGTCCCCTTGTTCTGGGGTGAGGAGGTGGTAAAGGAGTTCCCTGAATCAGAGGTGTTGCCACTGTTGAGGTCCCGGCTCTTGCTGAGTTCCCCACTGGGGCTCCCCTTCTCCTGACCCCGAGACCTGGCCGAGCTGATCTGCGTCGAGGGTGGCGACGAAGTGTCGTTGCCGGAGTCGTACTCCTGGGAGCGTCCGCGGGAGGTGGTGAGCGGGCTGGCTGTTTTGGTAAAGAGGTCAGCAGCAGACCCCGACCCAGTGATCTGAAAGCAAAAACAGCCGTTGGATGCTGCTGAGCGCGGGGCCTGCGGGCTGCGTCTAAACCTAGAAATGATTACCATCATGATGCACTGTAACAAAAGGAAAGAGAGAGAGAGGAGAGGAGAGGAGAGACGCCAAAAAACAAAAGCACAAATTCCTGAGAGAGTACCACAGAAAGGAGCTTTTTCTTTACCCCCTGCTAGGATAACGGGAAGATTTTAGGTATCATGCAGAGAAAAAGCATGCGATCCAGATTAAATAAAAGAAAAAGGAAATTATACGAAATTTAATTTCTAATGAATTAACTCAAACCAAAGAGGCAACTTAATAGAAGGGGGAAGGGGGTGTAAACACCCTTAACCTAAAACAATAACAAAAATAAAGGAAGGGGGAGGGAAAAAAGAAATGGAGCTATGGGCCTGAAAAAAATATATTTTGAAACTTAAAAAAAAAAAAGATATAAAGCCAAAATTTTAAACTTCAACCAAATTCTCAATGAATTGGATTTTTTTTTCTAATAAGAAGTTGCCTGCATAGAACCCTACACAAATATCACATGGGGAAAAGAAATGAAATAAAGATGAGTTTCTTAAAAATATATATATAATGTCAAGGCCACAAAATGACATTTTAGTAGCTGTCAAAGGGGAAAAGAAATGGGGGCAGGGACAAAAAAATGGCAGTCAAATAGTCTGGCTGAAAACAAAGAAACAAAAAGCTCACTACGGATTCGGAGCGTGTCCCCCTGGAGAAGGCAGCTAAGACTCTCGAGTGGCTTCTAACAAATTCTCTCATGTCTTTGCGGATTTCATCCACTTACCAAGCAAGAACTCCTCCTTTAGTAGGTAGGTAAGGTGTAAGAGAAAGGGAAGAGCGGGCAACGTGAGTCCATCATTAGAGTCGCAAATGACAAGAAAAAACACACACCTTTCTGCACATCTTCACACGGGGCCCTGCACTGTGCGTTTGGGGTTCTGCAGTGTCCTGGGCAGGGAAGGCCTCGGTTCTGTTTGGCTTCCTCGGGAAGGGGTACCTCCGGCCGGCAACACTAACCTGTGCCAGGCCTTCATGCCCAAGGGGGATCAAGAAACCCTTGCTGGGAGTGCAAGTGGGGGCTAGAGGTTGCGGCTGTCTCGGTGTCAAGATCATGGTGACCCGGGGAGGGTGTGCTTGCAACACAGGGCTTTGGAAGGGGCTTGGAGGTTTGGCTTCGGGTGACTGGTGGTGAGGAGGGGCCTCCCAGAATCCTGCTTGGGCTTGACCTGGGACAGATGAAGGAGCACAGGAGGTGATGGAGGACCCGCCCTTGGAGGACCGTGGCGTGTGCAGAAGCACAGCGAGTGGCTTTGTTTAAACATTCCAACCAGTCTCACGGCTGGGACAACACTGGGTGCGGATTTCCGGCCCCGCCAACAGTGCCACACGTACTTGGCTGTGGCAGGAGGGACCCGGGCCCTGGCCCCCTTCGACGACAGCCATCCTCACAGGTTAAGAAATCTGTGGGATCGAGAGGGTACTGCCCTGAGACCACCTTCCTGAGGCTGCTCTCTGGTGCCTGAGATCCCAGGATGCTGTTTAAATGGCCCCTGCCCCCCCCCCCAGGGTCTCTGCAGGCTCAACCCTGGCCCCGCTCCCCCAGGAGTAGATCACACTTCCAGGTGCACACTCCCAGGTCCAAGGGGGCCTCTGGACGGAACCCGGATGTGCACACTGGTGCTGGTTGGTGTGAAAAGTGGGGAGGAAGGAGAGGGGCCGGGCCCCGGGGTAGGTCTCCCCGACGCTGCCAGGCTGTGGCCTGGCCCTCTGAAGGGGCTGGGGCTTTACACTTAAACCTGCTTTCAGATCATTTGGAAGGGATGCTGGCCAAGACAGAACACATTTCATTTTCAGTCTGCTGGCTCAACTGACACTGCACATTCAAACAGAGAGTATGTGGGCTTCCTTCGGACGCTTGCCTGGGCCCCCCAATGGGAGAGCCGGTCTCACCATCGAGAGCCTGCCTGCTCTGCTCCCCACTTTACCTCACACCCTGTGGGCCTGAAGGAGGGAGGGGCTTGTGGCATTTCTGCCTTCTCAGCAGGTGGCCCTGAAGGCGAGACCGGACACGGGACTGGGAGGGTAACAGTGAAAACCCGGGAGGCTCAGGATGTCGCCTCCTGGACTGGGGAGGCAGGGCTCCCTAGTGGATCTTCCCGGGAGGCTTTGTGCACAGACAAGGGGCTGGTCCAGCTCTGCTGAGTTCTACCCGGTGCAGCTGCTGCTCTCCCTGCTTGGGGTCCTGGCTTAGCTTTACTTTGGGAGAAGGGACCGCCTCTGTCAGGAGTAAGGAAGCCCCATGCCAGGCAGCTAGACGCTGGGACCCGAGCTCTCAGGCTGGGGGTAGGGCCAGGGATGGGCTCAGAGCATCTTTGCCTCAGAGATGGTGAGTGTTCGGTGGCCAGGACATCACAAGTGAGTCAGCGGGCCATTCTTGGAGGGACCGGGCTCCAGTGCAGGGGCCCCGAGAACAGTGGTTTCCTCGTGTCTCCCAGAAACGTGCTACTTGGGTGCATCCAGGCTGGGCCTCGGTCCCCCTGCACCTGTTCCCTGCCTCAACTACTCAGTTCAAATGACTGGCTCTGGTGCATCAGGGGTCCCCATGGGCAAAGATTTCACTGGTGGGAGGCCACTTGGGGCTGATGGATATAGAAGGGGACTTTTCCACCTTCTCGACCCACACCCTGAGCCCACAGGGACAACTGTGTGCCCACCGGACCACAACCAACATCCACATGTATCTCGTGTGTTCAGAACTGAGGATTCCGCGCAGCACCATGCTCTCCCGCCCTCGCCAGGAAAGGGAGGTACAAGTACTACGGATGCGCTGGCACTGGGCAGCCCCGGTGCTTGAACACACCAGCCTCTCCTACTTATTTAAAAGGCTCATTTCTCAGGATGCATCGAAATTCTTTGACCTGGATGACAATGCCCTTTCCAGCTCTACCCTACGTCCTTCCCACAGTCTCACCTCTTCCTCATACCCCACCCGGGCCCCCCACAAACTTAAGCTGACCGGTTAGAGAGAGCGTTCTCAGTTCTGCTGCCACGTCTCACTTTCTCAACCTCAGGCCCTTGGCACGTGCCATTTCCTCTGCCTGGAAGAGTCCCCCCTTGTGTCTCATTTCACATGACTAAACGCATTCATTCTCCTCTGGAAAGCCTCCCTTGGTCCCCAGGCCAGAATAGCACAAACTCTCTTTCTTTCATTCATTCATTCATTCCACCTCTCCTTCATGCACTCATTCAAAAATGAGTGCACACTGTCACTCGGTGGGGTAAATGCTGTTTTATCGCCTGGCTCCCCACCTGGGCAGGGGCTCCTTGGAGGCAGGGCCCAGACACGGCTGCTTCCCTGTTGCACCCCAGTACCCACGGTGCTGGGCACAGAGCAGGGGCTCAGTGAATCTTGCTAAGTGAACGCAGCTGCCCCACGGGCCCTGGGAAGCCCGGGCTGGGTGGCTGGGCCCATCCTAACTCAATTTATTGGCTCCGTGATCAAGCCCTGGTGGGGTCCAAGTTGAGTGGGTTCCAGCTTTGGGAAGCTGATGGATTTATAAGGAGGGACTGGCTTCCGTCACACTCACAACAGTTCTAGGATATTAGGTGGACCCTTGGCTGATGGTTGGGGCTTGAGTCCAGTGGAGGGCCGGGAGTGTGAGCTAGAGACACTTGGAGGTCTTGGCCTCCAAGACCATGTTTCAGGCCCAGGCCTGTGGCAGAGAGAAGAAGTACACCCTGCTCTTGGTCCTGGTCACCCTCAGACCCAGGAGGGCCTCGACCTCCAGATTCTCAACAGCAAGCACTGCAGGTAAAGGGAGATGCCCTCCAGGTGAGACGAGCCATGTGAGCTGTGCAGGTCTCCTAGTTTCCTTCTCTACGCTCTGCTGCTCTGAAGGTCAGGGGAAAGACGACCTGGTCTGGTGGCTGGCACACAGCAGGGCTGACTGGGTAGAAACAGGTGCTCCTCCTGGGGCAGAAATTTTAAGAAGGCGCCCCTCTCTGGCTAGACAAACTAGAACAAAATATACTTTTCTCTGGGCTGAAGCATCCACACCAAGTATTCGCAACCGGCCTGGTGAGTGGAGGGTGGGGGTGTTTAACTGCCAGGCACAGGGCACAGCGGCAGGATGTAAGTAACATCCCCTGCAGACAGGGAACACGCAGTTCTCGCTCCATCTGACCCGCGCTGGGGGTGGGGCTGGGGGAGGGAGGAGGTGGTGCCCTGCGGACAGTCATCCCTGCTTCTTTCAGCTGACATCTATTTGGCTTTGACTTTGCACGTCTCGATGGGCTCTGTCTCCATTTCCGGGGGACAGGAACGTTTTAATAAACTCATTAGCGATGTCTGGGTAGTTTAATGGCCTCTTAGCCCCAGACTGCACCTTCTCCAGAGCCTTCCATTCACCTCACACAAAGAGGAGGAAAGACACACTGAAGGGAGCCAGAGACAAAGTGTGTGTGTGTGTGTGTGTGTGTGTGTGGGGGGGCGGGTGACAGCGTGATGACTCACAGGGGACCTTCGAGTTACAGACGTCATGACAGGCAGACAACGGAGGCCTCTGTCCTCCCCCCTCTGAGCGACTCCTTCCTACCCAGACGCCCACTCGGCACTGAGTTGATGGGCCAGCTCCCGCCTGCTCCTTCACGTCTCCTCATTTAGATCACAGGCCTCTCAAAATCCATCCTGAAGGGCTCTCTTCATCCACTGGGAATCTCTCTCCTAGGCGTGTAACTGCTCTTTGCCCCTTCAGTCCCAGCGTGGCTGCAAACCGGTGCCCAGGACGCCCGCTGGGAGTTACCTGGACCCACCGTGGCCCAGTAACAGTGCCCTCGTGGGATTCGGGGCCCCCATGAAGACCGGGAAGCCTCCCGCCAGGGCTGTCTCCTTTAGCCCACTCTGACCCCTTCCTGCATCTCAGCCTTGACCTTACATGCGTGTCTTCACAGAGGCCTGCCTTCGGGT